TTAAACCACCTACAGGAATTCCAACATACAGTAGAACACTTTCATATTCTGACTATTTCAGTTAAACCACCTACAGGAATTCCAACATACAGTAGAACACTTTCATATTCTGACTATTTCTGCTAAACCACCTACAGGAATTCCAACATACAGTAGAACACTTTCATATTCTGAGTATTTCAGCTAGACCACCTACAGGATTTCCAACATACTGTAGAACACTTTCATATTCTGAGTATTTCAGCTAAACCACCTACAGGAATTCCAACATACAGTAGAACACTTTCATATTCTGACTATTTCAGTTAAACCACCTACAGGAATTCCAACATACAGTAGTTCACTTATTTCCACAAACATGCAATTTTTGATAATACCCACAACTTTTAATAGGCTGTTAGGAGAAGGCCCAAGTGGATTTATTAGATCAAAGAGGCATTGAGTTAATTCATGGGGAAAATCCTTTTAGAAAAAACATGCTATTTCTAATACAGTGTGTGACTTATGATACAAGGACCTATTCATTCTATGTCATAGTTTATTGCACTCTATTGAAATAACCTTTAACTTCAGTCCACTGACACAGCATGTCAGTTAATGTGGGTTTGCAACTCATTCATGTAATTCAGTTTTCCTACTGAGGTGTTATTAGAGGTTTACTAATCATACCAAGTGGTAGTTCTAGAGTGTTTTTGGAACTATTTGTGTGGTAAGTCTAGTATAATGTTCAGTGTATAAGAATATATATATATATATAAATATTGATGTGTAACATGAGGCCTTAAGCGTATAAAATTGAATATTATGACCACCCAAATTTTAAAGCTTTCATGAATATACGTAGATAATTTATTACCAATAGCTCTCCTTATTTTGTTTACAGAAGGTCTTTCCAATGCACTGATATATATTCACACCTTTAAAAGTTATATCTTGGGCACATAAGCAAAAAAATCTTTCTTATCGCCAATAATCTTGGTCTTGTTTTTTTTTAACCAAAACTTAAGAGATTTAAATTTTCTGTCTAGATATTTCTTTTCACCCTTTTCTGTGTTTAACTCAGGACAAAAATTCTGAGGTTCTCCTGCTGATGTCAGTTGAACTGGGATTACAGCCTGGTGTTGTTTGAAAGTATAAAGTATGATAATAATCTGATATTCTGTGTGTAGAAAGAAGAAAATGAGGATGAGGAGGGACCAAAGGAGAAGTCTGAAGATGACAAATCTGCTGAGGATGAGGAGGAGGACAAAGATAAATCTGAAGGAGGATCTGAGGAGGAAAAGGAAGATAAAAAGTTATCAGAAGAAGAGGAATCCGATGAGGAGTCTGAAGAAGAAAAGCCCAGGAGTGGTGGATTGTTTTAACAGCATAGTGAGTTCTCATGTCATGATATGTGATGTGCTTAGACTTCATGAAGAACTTCTAACACTGTTCAGGAAGACCTTGTGGCAGAGAACTCTTACAGCATGATAAGCTTAGACTTAAAATGGAACTTACAACAGTATTCATTTAAAAGCGTGGCAGTGAACTCTTGTGTCATGGTGTGTTTAAGAGTTCAGGAGGAACTGCTGTCATGAGTTTCCATTGGTTGCACGTCATGAAAAACGTGTCACTGATATCCTACAGCATGATGTGATTAGAGTACATGAAAAACTTGTGTCAGTGAGCTCTTACAGCATGATGTGATTAGAATTCATGAAGAACTGGTGTCAGTGAGCTCTTACAGCATGATGTGATTAGAATTCATGAAGAACTGGTGTCAGTGAGCTCTTACAGCATGATGAGATTAGAGTACATGAAGAACTGGTGTCAGTGAGCTCTTATAGCATGATATGATTAATATTCATGAAGAACTGGTGTCAGTGAGCTCTTACAGCATGATGTGATTAGAGTACATGAAGAACTGGTGTCAGTGAGCTCTTACAGCATGATGAGATTAGAGTACATGAAGAACTGGTGTCAGTATAAGCTTTATTGAGAAGTTGATATAACATAATCATCCAAATGTGAGTGGGGTATTGTGCAACAACTTGATATAAAATAATCAGCGAAATGTTAGTGGAGTATTGTGCAGCATGTTGATATAACATAATCAGCATTGTGTCAGTGCAGTTTGATATAACATAGCATTTTAAGGCAGAATGAAAAAGTTGAATTGATTATCAAAGGAAGTTTGCTTGTAATTGTTTACATTTTCAGAGTAGCCATGAAGCTGTATTATAGCATATTATATCAGATGAACATGTCTGTAATTGTTGTTTAGCACTGGTTGCAGCATTTCAAGTCATATGGAAGATTTATAAATTCTCAAATAAGAAGAGGCTAAATAGCATCACTTTTACTTTCAAGTAGTTTATATTGATGTATTTAGAATACTTCTATATATAACTTTAATGCTTCAGGAATCAGCACTCAGCATGGCAAGGTTCACATGGAATTAGCACACGGTTTTACAGGTCATATTGAGAATGGAACTTAAGTTTTTGTTGTATTTTAATGTCTCATCCTACTGCATACTTTATAATCTCAATTTCATGTGGAATAGTTTCAGTTTCATGTGGAATGGTCAAAATGACTTCAACCGTGTTGTTGCTAAGCACTGTAAAGTGCAAGGTGGTGATTGATGATCATGATGACTGCCCAAATGCAGTTGGAGGGGGAGACTAAAGTATGGTTATTGTCATAATTCACTAATTCTTAATATTTTTGTTTCAGACATCAGTTGAAGACGAAATAAAGTCAGAGGTAAGTGATATGGTGATGTACTTGTATGATTTTGTGATCCAAGACAAGCATGCACATGCATGCACGTAGAGAGATGTTGTAATTGTGATGGATGCTACAGCTGGTTGTGTTAGTTTTGAATACTGATTGTGTTACTTGTAAATAGTNACTATTTCAGGTAAACCACCTGCAGGGATTCCAACATACAGTAGAACACTTTCATACTCTATTTCAGCTAAACCACCTACAGGAATTCCCACATACAGTAGTTCACTTATTTCCACAAACATGCAATTTTTGATAATACCCACAACTTTTAATAGGCTGTTAGGAGAAGGCCCAAGTGGATTTATTAGATCAAAGAAGCATTGAGTTAATTCATGGGGAAAATTCTTTTAGAAAAAACATGCTATTTCTAATACAGTGTGTGACTTATGATACAAGGACCTTCATTCCATGTAATAGCTAATTGCACTCTATTGAAGTAACCTTGAACTTCAGTCCACTGACACCGCATGTCAGTTAATGTGGTACAGTTAACGTGGGTTTGCAACTCATTCATGTAATTCAGTTTTCCTACTGAGGTGTTATTAGAGCTTTACTAATCATACCAAGTGGTAGTTCTTGACTGTTTGTGGAACTATTTGTGTGGTAAGTCTAATATAATGTTCAGTGTATAAGAATATATATATATAAATATTGATGTGTAACATGAGGCCTTCAGCGTATATGACATAAAATCATAATATTCAAATTTTAAAGCTTTCATGAATATACGTAGGTAATTTATTACCAATAGCTCTCCTCATTTTGTTTACAGAAGGTCTTTCCAATGCACTGATATATATTCACACCTTTAAAAGTTATATCTTGGGCACATAAGCAAAAAAATCTTTCTTATCGCCAATAATCTTGGTCTTGTTTTTTCTTAACCAAAACTTAAGAGATTTAAATTTTCTGTCTAGATATTTCTTTTCACCCTTTTCTGTGCTTAACTCAGGACAAAAATTCTGAGGTTCTCCTGCTGATGTCAGTTGAACTGGGATTACAACCTGGTGTTGTTTGAAAGTATAAAGTATGATAATAATCTGATATTCTGTGTGTAGAAAGAAGAAAGTGAGGATGAGGAGGGACCAAAGGAGAAGTCTGAAGATGACAAATCTGCTGAGAATGAGGAGGAGGACAAAGATAAATCTGAAGGAGGATCTGAGGAGGAAAAGGAAGATAAAAAGTTATCAGAAGAAGAGGAATCTGAGGAAGAGGATAAAAGGGGGGAAAAGTCCGATGAGGAGTCTGAAGAGTCTGAAGAAGAAAAGCCCAGGAGTGGTGGATTGTTTTAACAGCATAGTGAGTTCTCATGTCATGATATGTGATGTGCTTAGACTTCATGAAGAACTTCTAACACTGTGCAGGAAGACCTTGTGGCAGAGAGCTCTTACAGCATGATAAGCTTAGACTTTAAAAAATGGAACTTACAATAGTATTCATTTAAATGCGTGGCAGTGAACTCTTGTGTCATGGTGTTTTAGAGTTCAGGAGGAACTTGTGTCATGAGTTTCCATTGGCTGCATGTCATGAAAAACATGTCACTGAAATCCTACAGCATGATGTGTTTAGAGTACATGAAGAACTGGTGTCAGTGAGCTCTTACAGCATGATGTGTTTAGAGTACATGAAGAACTGGTGTCAGTGAGCTCTTACAGCATGATGTGTTTAGAGTACATGAAGAACTGGTGTCAGTAAACTCTTACAGCATGATGTGATTAGAGTACATGAAGAACTGGTGTCAGTATAAGCTTTATTGAGAAGTTGATATAACATAATCATCCAAATGTGAGTGGGGTATTGTGCAACAACTTGATATAAAATAATCAGCGAAATGTTAGTGGAGTATTGTGCATGTTGATATAACATAATCAGCATTGTGTCAGTGCAGTTTGATATAACATAGCATTTTAAGGCAGAATGAAAAAGTTGAATTGATTATCAAAGGAAGTTTGCTTGCAATTGTTTACATTTTCAGAGTAGCCATGAAGCTGTATTATAGCATATTGTATCAGATGAACATGTCTGTAATTGTTGTTTAGCACTGGTTGCAGCATTTCGAGTCATATGGAAGATTGATAAATTCTCAAATAAGAAGAGGCTAAATAGCATCACTTTTACTTTCAATTAGTTTATATTGATGTATTTAGAATACTTCTATATATAACTTAAATTCTTCAGGAATCAGCACTCAGCATGGCAAGGTTCACATGGAAGTAGCACACGGTTTTACAAGTCATATTGAGAATGGAACTTTAAAAGTTTTTGTTGTATTTTAAAGTCTCATACTGCTGCATACTTTATAATCTCAATTTCATGTGGAATAGTTTCAGTTTCATGTGGAATAGTTTCAGTTTCATGTGGAATGGTCAAAATGACTTCAACCGTGTTGTTGCTGAGCACTGTAAAGTGCAAGGTGGTGATTGATGATCATGATGACTGCCCAAATGCAGTTGGAGGGGGAGACTAAAGTATGGTTATTGTCATAATTCACTAATTCTTAATATTTTTGTTTCAGACATCAGTTGAAGACGAAATAAAGTCAGAGGTAAGTGATATGGTGATGTACTTGTATGATTTTGTGATCCAAGACAAGCATGCTCATGCATGCACGTAGAGAGATGTTGTAATTGTGATGGATGCTACAGCTGGTTGTGTTAGTTTTGAATACTGATTGTGTTACTTGTAAATAGTGATTGTGTTGTAATTGTGCTGTATACAGCTGATTGTGTTAGTTGTGATTGCTTATTACATTGGATGAAAGTTTTTAAAGATTAAGCCCCCATTACAGAACTGGAGGACTATTTGGTAATTTTTGCTGATGAGAATTAAATGGTTTACACATGACAAATATAAAGGGCTGTTGTGCATGTTTTCTGTAAGTAGATAGAACTGAGTGTTTGATTTATTGATTTATAAAAAAAAAGTAGGATATATATATTTCAGGTGTACTTGTACATTATATGTGTATCTTTTAGGATTGAAGATGACCTGGTGAAGAATTCCTGTGTATATGATGAGTTGAAGGCATGACCCAATCTTTTGTACATACAGTATTAGGATGGCTTCTCACCAGGAAACCAGTGTTCCAAGTGCTCCTCTTTACAATGCAACAGGCTGTGACCTAACTTATTACTGGAGTCAGAAACCTGAACTTCAGGCAGAACTGAGATTTACAAAAGAAAATTGAAAGGCATTGCACACATTCACAAACCAGGGTTACACTATGTTGAAGATACTTGAAGTGATAATGGTTGTGCTGGTGTCAATTGTCACTGAGAATTATGTCATGTGCTGACATTTGGAGACATTGAGAGAATGCCTAGCCCAGAGTATGCACAGCATTCACCAGGATCTTCACATTGGTCTGATAGTATGGAGTGGACTTTATGTAGTCTGGCCTGGAACAGTGGAAAGCTTGCTTAAGTCACACTAGTATTAGCAACCATTTTAGATCGATGGAATACAAAGACGAAAGTTGTTCCCATTTTAGCCTTGGATCAAGGCTCACATTGGAACTATGGTTTACTTACTATTGTTATCATGAATATCACAAATCAATCTGTGTTTAGAGACAACTGAATGCTACCAAATACTTGTATAAATTACAAATGAAGGCATATCTGGGGCTGGGTTTGTTCTATGGTTTACTTACTATTGCTATCATGAATATCACAAATCAATCTGTATTAAAGACAACTGGATGCTGCCAAATACTTATATCAAATACAATTACTTGGGACTGAGTTTGTTCTAAATGTAGTCTCCATATTATGAATTAAAGTTAATAATTGACACATAAAAGGTACATATTATGAGTAGATGAAAGCATTGCCACTACACTTGACCAAATGCATATACATGTAGTTTCAAATGGCATAACTTAAACAAATAGCACAGGGTTTTGTTTCATTACTGCTTTTCCTTTCTGGTTTCATTACCCACTAGAGGAATGGATTAAAGGGTCAAGTTTACAACCAGAAATTTGGAGAAGGTACAATTGAAAGCCCTTTCTCAGGTGAACAAGTGATTAATTTGAATTATTTTTGGACACGGATTTTATTTGTGTGAGAAAATGACAGTAATAATTTGTATGCATTACAGTTGTGCTCTGGCTCATCCATCCTTAATTTTGAACTTGCAAGTGATTTTTTTAATTTCACTGATCTAGCTTGCCTTTTTTTCATTTTGCCATATACAAGTAATTCTAAGATCTCTTGATTATCATGAATGCTGATTTCCATTTTAAGTTACACAAAAGTAGTTTCTGGAGCAGTCCCAAGCCACTGCCGTTTATCACATAAAGCCAAATGTTTCACTTAGACTTTAAAAGCTTACAGAATCTCATTCATTTGCCAATATTACACAACCAATGGGTGTGTAGGCAACTTTCAATAGCTCTGTATTAGTTAATCTAATACATTAAAACAGGGTATATAGGCAACCCTCACTGACTTTGTGTTAGCCAATCTAATACATCAATACAGGGGATATACCAAACCTCACTAACCCCTGTGACTTAGACATCGAAGGTGCATGCTACCAAACTATTTATTTTTAAGGCTTCCATGTTCTCGTCTTGTTGACAGATGTTTGTATTGAACTGTTACTTATAGCCATTTGGTATTTTGTTCTGTTGTTGTAAAAGGCTATCCTACAGTATAACCAAATGAAATAAACTTTTTACCATTTGCTATTTTTCTCTGATTATTTGTGACTGCAGTAAGTTAGAACCAAAACATGGGGGGGGGGGGGGGATATAATCTAGACAATTTGAGTGTTTGAGAGAAATGCAGCATTTGAAAATCAAGTTGAATAAGAGCTACCCACCAAGCCTGCATATGATGGCCAATGTTGAAGATTGGTTGGCATGTTGGCATATAGTTGGCCCTACTACAGCATTATATGTATCTCCTTATAACCATATAAATTGTGTTCCTAACAAAAAATTGTTAATTAACCAATTCATCTATTGCTCAGTTACACATATAGAGTTTGAATGAAGAAAATACAATTTTTTTAAAATTAAAAGTTAATCAAAATGACTTTTTTTTCTGGCGTCAAAATCATATTTTTGGTACTTCTGAAATATAAAACTCATATAAATTAGTATAAAATTATAATAAAAGATCAGACTGACTAGTAATTAAAGTAAAGTGCCTGAGCTACTGATGTCCATTTATGTGCAAATGCAATGGTTATTTCAGGTAGACGGCATTTATTTCAACCTCTGTTTACCTTGAGTGTTGGTTTTATAAATTATTGTACCAGTTACAACACTTTAACGTGTGTATATACTACTTATACCTGTAATTTGCACAAGATGATTTCATAAAAAATGTAGCTTAATTTAAGGAGCTGTTTTCCTTGATCAAGAATCAAAGAGATGAGAATAAGGGTATTCTAACCAAGAAGCACTATATCAACAACTGTAGATTTTATATTTTTCCCAACTTAAGAAGAAGTTTATGGTATAGTTACATTAAAATATGAACAGCATGATGCAGTGAAATGTACTATCAGGCAGATGAAAAATGCATGGAAATGTGGAGTCTGTGTCTGTACAGAGCATCCATGTAATGAAAGGTGAAAGTCTGTCTGTACTGAACATCCATGTAATGAAAGGTGAAAGTCTGTGTCTGTACTGAACATCCATGTAATGAAAGGTGAAAGTCTGTGTCTGTACTAAACATCCATGTAGTGAAAGGTGAAAGTCTGTGTCTGTACTAAACATCCATGTAATGAAAGGTGAAAGTCTGTGTCTGTACTGAACATCCATGTAATGAAAGGTGAAAGTCAGGCTGAGTCTTGTTTTACATGTACCCAACTAAACATTTACAATGCTAATTCCGGCATCGAGTATTTTTCATATTATTTAAATATTATTTGCATAAATGTCAATTTTACTAAGTAGAGTTTCAGTAAAAATAACTTACTTTGATTCACTCTGAGAAAGTTTAAATTATGGTACACACTCTGTACTATACTGAGCAGGCCCGTAGCCAGGGATGTTTGGGGGGTGGTTGAAAAGAACTGCCCTTTTTGTCAGGTAAAGGTCCATTCTGGGCAAAATTTGACCTAGGTACACAAAAATTTCATTTCAAAAGGTACAATTTTCAGAAAAAGACCCCCTTTTGAAATTGCTGGCTACAGGCCTGCTGAAAATAGTTAACTTGTTTAGAATATCCATCAATTATCTAGGATAGTATCCTGATGGCTCTGGCATCTGATATCCAGTTGTTGATTGATGTACACTTGGTAAGAATGTCTGTCAATTATCTAGGATAGTATCCTGATGGTTCTGGCATCTGATATCCAGTTGTTGATTGATGTACACTTAGAATGTATGGTAATTATCTAGGATAGTATCCTGATGGCTCTGGCATCTATCCAGTTGTTGATTGATGTACACTTATTATGTATGGTAATTATCTAGGATAGTATCCTGATGGTTCTGGCATCTGATATCCAGTGGAAGAATTAGGATAAGGTGTCTGTGAGGCAGTCCACTGCTGTCCATAGGGAGATTTGCCAGAGGCTCGTGTCTGCAGCAGTTCTCCCATCTTCTCTGCCTTAATTCTTCGTAAGTGAGCCACGGTCCTCTCTCCAATAAATTTCTGGACAAACGCATCAACACTTAAACTACCATCAAGAAATTCTTCTGCCATTTTCTGTAAAATTAACAAATGAATTAAGTTAATACCAAATCATTTATAAAGGGAGCATTCACAACATTTCATCTGTGGAGTAAGTAGTACACAAATCAATGAAAGCAAGCCATATAATCCCCTAATAATAAAGTAATGGATTCCCTGCTCCCACAACTGCCGTCCTAGCAGGGGCAGAGCAATTAAATCTAAGCACATGCTTTCACCATATTTGGTCCACGAACTGGTTGGTCTGCAGACCAAGAAGCAAGACTAAGGATAGCAATATGGATAAAGTGACCATACAAAAGTTTTTTTCTTTTTTACACTGAGTGTTTTAAACATACAGAGACAAATGTATTTCTAAGATATAAAGCTCAAAGATAAAAGGCCTATAAAATGATTGAAATAAATATAATACAGCTATCAATTTGGTGAATTAGTTTGAACTGAGCATGGATGTAGCATTCAGAATGCATGACGTAGTGAGTTTTGGCTGAACTAACATGTCAACTAAATAGGGATTTGAAAGCATTACTGCCAATACCTCTGTTTCTTCCTCTGATTTAGCGGCTTCAGTCTGCAGTAAGGCATGAACAGTGTCAGGACTTTGGCTATTTGCCTGGTTATCTGAAATATATCAAACAGCCTAGGGTTAGAAATATAAGCCATATATATATATATATATATATATATATATATATATATATATATATATATATATATTGCAGGAAGATTAAAACACTGCCATGTAACACCCTTTAACCATTTTACCACACTGTCACAGAGAGGAAGACCAGTGTTCACTATACACACACACAAACACATACACACACACCTTTACATACACACACACACACACACACACACACACACACACACACACACATACACACACACACCTTTACATACACACACACACACAAACACATACACACACACATTTACATACACACAAACACATACACACACCTTTACATACACACACGCACATACACACACACATACACACCTTTACATACACACACACACACATACACACAAACACATACACACACATATTTACATACACACAAACACACACACACACACACACACACCAATATAGTAACAGGAAGAGGAACAGAGAGGTGACTTTGTTGTGTATAGGTTGATTTAATAACACACGGAGACAAGTGGATAAGAGAGGCAAAACTGCCCTCTGGCTTAAATTTAAAAAAAAGATCATTATCTTATGCTTCACTTCTAGTAAAACACCAAAATTATGATGGGATGAATGTTTTTGTGAATGGTTCAATCACTCCAAAATTTTACTTAAGTTTTAACTTTAAATAGATATCATTATGGTAATCATCATTATTATACCTATCTGCTCTTTGTCCCTGAGAAGCACCTCTTTTGAGCGCTGAACCTCTTCATAGAGTGTAGCCAACTTCTCTCTGCCTTCCTTTAATAGAGGCTCCTTGGACAGGTTGTAATCAGCCAAGCTCTTATTGCTGGCTAGTAACATCTCCCTGTCTACCTGGATGTTCTTTACCTGAAGGTAGCCAATACAGAATGTAGGTAACATTTTATATATAACATCTCCCTGTCTACCTGGATGTTCTTTACCTGAAGGTAGCCAATACAGGATGAAGGTAACATCTTATCTATAACATGTTAAGTTTTTTTTTAACCTGGTACATACCTGATGTTGATATTTCCATTGGAGCTTATAGCAAAATGGTTCTTGTTATGCAGACAGCCCTTCATGTCAAGCCCTGAACTCTGATTGATTTCTCATATATATTATTTTAATAGCATCTCTCTGTNACACACACATACACACCTTTACACACACACACACACACACACACACACACACACACACACCTTTACATACACACACACACTGGCACACAGACACACACCAATATAGTAACAGGAAGAGGAACAGAGAGGTGACTTTGTTGTGTATAGGTTGATTTAATAACACACGGAGACAAGTGGATAAGAGAGGCAAAACTGCCCTCTGGCTATGTACCACCATTAAATTAAAAAAAAAGATCATTATCTTATGCTTCACTTCTAGTAAAATACCAAAATTATGATGGGATGAATGTTTTTGTGAATGGTTCAATCACTCCAAAATTTTACTTAAGTTTTAACTTTAAATAGATATCATTATGGTAATCATCATTATTATACCTATCTGCTCTTTGTCCCTGAGAAGCACCTCTTTTGAGCGCTGAACCTCTTCATAGAGTGTAGCCAACTTCTCTCTGCCTTCCTTTAATAGAGGCTCCTTGGACAAGTTGTAATCAGCCAAGCTCTTATTGCTGGCTAGTAACATCTCCCTGTCTACCTGGATGTTCTTTACCTGAAGGTAGCCAATACAGAATGTAGGTAACATTTTATATATAACATCTCCCTGTCTACCTGGATGTTCTTTACCTGAAGGTAGCCAATACAGGATGAAGGTAACATCTTATCTATAACATGTAAAGTTTTTTTTAACCTGGTACATACCTGATGTTGATATTTCCATTGGAGCTTATAGCAAAATGGTTCTTCTTATGCAGACAGCCCTTCATGTCAAGCCCTGAACTCTGATTGATTTCTCATATATATTATTTTAATAGCATCTCTCTGTCATTTAGCCTGTTTTTTAAGGCAGGTTATTTTGTCAGAAATAATGAAATACCAAACCATACAAAACAGGAACATTCGAGAGAGAGAGAAGGAGAGAGAGGGATGATGAGCAATCACCTGTTGTAGATCATTAGTGAGGTCATGAAGTTTTTCTTCACTGTCAAGAAGCCCTTGTAGCTGTTGTGTGTCCATGTATTGTATTAAGGCAGTTGCCTCTTCATAGTTGGGCTCATACTTAGCCACACTGGATACCCTCTGGAGGGTGTTGGCTGCTCCTATGGGCATTGTCTGTAAAATATATGTTCAGTTATACCATAAAGTTTTCTCTACTTCTATGGTTATACATACTAGTATCTTACACACACACACACACACACACACACACACACACACACAAAGCAGCAAAGTTGTTTATTTCCATATTTGACACTTTATTACACAATAAAGATAACACTTTTTGTTAGTTTGCAGGTGAAATTGTTCATGAGAAAATAAGAAAATTAAAAATATGTATTTTACCATCCAATAATTACCCTATAAAAAATATTTAAGTCTGATATTTGGTGATTTTTTAAACATCATTCTTTTTAGTATACACAAAAAGTGCCAATGTCTCCTCCATTTTTGCATACTTCTAGATAAAAGCCATATACTCAAATAAAATAAGATTTATTAATTTTTGTCAAATTGTGGGAGGAGTCAAAATTTCATGGGGGGAGTCAGATTTTCATTATGAAATTTTGACTCTGGGAATCAGATTTTCATGTTACTCCAGGGTATGTGTGTAGTATATGTGTGTTCTAATACGACATGTCAAATTTAATGCCTTAAAATAAAATAAGACGTTTATTTGTCATATCCTCTATTTTGACACCTTATAACATGGACAGTCCCCTAACTACTATTTTATTCTGAATTCTTATTATGTAGCTGATCAAAAACAAGAAACAGTAGAGTGTTACTGATGTCTTGCTTCGTTTTTCAGTCTAACTTGCTGCTTAGCATATTTTGATTATTTAGTACTGTAAATGTAATGCAGAAAACTGAGCCTGAGGCAAGGTGCGAATGTTGTTGAACTTACAGGCGGTAAAAATAAAATAAAGGTAATTTAGCCTCCTTTACATCGTTAATAAACAAGCATTTTCCACTGTCTTAACGCTGAAATTGGTGGGTATATATGCGATCTAAACAGATATAGAGAGGCCAACGGTATTAGTACTTACTGGCTGACGAAAACTTTCACTTTACTTAGTCTGGCGCTCACTTCCTCACAGTTGTTTTCGTAACCGGAAGTCAGAAATTGACTCAAGATAAGCCGTGTTTATTTTCTTTTAACAGTAAATTATATTTTATTTTCGTAAAAAAGGCAAGTATTTTCATAAAACNATGTTGTTGAACTTACAGGCGGTAAAAATAAAATAAAGGTAATTTAGCCTCCTTTACATCGTTAATAAACAAGCATTTTCCACTGTCTTAACGCTGAAATTGGTGGGTATATATGCGATCTAAACAGATATAGAGAGGCCAACGGTATTAGTACTTACTGGCTGACGAAAACTTTCACTTTACTTAGTCTGGCGTTCACTTCCTCACAGTTGTTTTCGTAACCGGAAGTCAGAAATTGACTCAAGATAAGCCGTGTTTATTTTCTTTTAACAGTAAATTATATTTTATTTTCGTAAAAAAAAGGCATGTATTTTCATAAAAATGGGCCTGTATGTTGATTTTCTCCTTACACTGCCTAATTAGGCATACGATGTAAACTTGTCTTGTCTTGAACTAAGAACAGCCTAAATTGTCCAATCACATTTTGTTTTCAACACACACCTCCGAAGCTGATCGCGGATGGATACTAAATATGCCCAATCTTTTATTTTATTGATCATTATATGAATAGTAGTTACGTCATTTCCACAAAATATTTCTAAAATGTTGACCCTTAATCTGTCAATAAAACTGTGATTAAAATATACTTCATTTGTTTGGATTCTATGTTGCATTGCGTCAGTACACAATCTAAGCGGCGAAGAAACCAACATCCGGTAACAGGTGACACGAAACCAAGATTCATTTTTATCAAAATTGTTGCACCCAGAAGCTTGCAAGATGGATTCTGACATTGATATATCAAATGCCAAGCTTATGTGGGCACCAGATACAAATCGTTCTACAAAAATGGATGCATTTCGCGAGACTGTCAATAGGAAATTTGGTTTAAAATTAGGTACTAAGACATACCGGTGCTTTGAACTAGTTGTACATTGGTAAATGTACCGTACATGTAATAGTACTGACATTATAGTATTTTATTGCACTGTGCACGCAATGGAAAACTAATTGCGACACGAATAATCATGATCCAGCGCTAATATTTAGTATATGGGCGTGATTATCCAAGCTATCTATGAAAAGATGATTAGCAAGGAAACCCGTCCATACTGTAATTAGCATTCCAAGCCCTAGCAACTAATATTTATAAATAGTCTCCCATGCTTGGTACATGTACATGTATGTATATTAGCATGTGTGTATCAGCACATAGTTTTATACATTGGTAATCCTATTTACAGTCTCTGGTATATATTTTTAGTGCTTACACATGAATGATAGAGATGCCTATAACTTAAAAAGAACGACCAGTTAGCAAGTTATCAATTTGTACACTATCTGCTGAAAAGCTGACCAGTCTTGCAGTTAATAAGGTATTTGTCTGCTGGTCTACCAGAAATGCTGCTCTGAAATTTGACAGGATGAAATTTGAGAGAATTTTGAGAACAGTAAAACTGAGTCAAAAACTGTAGACTGTACATTTAGTAAATGTTTAAATATTTTCAGGCAACTACCAAGAACTATACAAATGGAGTGTTAGTAACTATGCAGAATTCTGGGAAGAGTGCCTCCAGTTTTTACCAATCAGATATTCCAAGCCATGGCAGCAGGTACTTGTAAGATAATGTGTACTGTATATTGCCCAAAGGCTTGGAGTCATTGTAATTTATAATATATTCCAATCCATGGCAGCNGATGATAATTGCATCAATACTAAATAATCAGTACTGGGGAAAAATAGCAAACAGGTTGGGATGATAATTGCATCATAACTAAATAATCAGTACTGGGTAAAAATAGCAAACATGGGATGGGATGATAGTTGCATCATCATTAAATTGGATAAGATAAGAGTTTATTCAGCCATTCATTCACATATAACAAAAAATGGATTGCTATTCCAGTAAAATGTTAAAAGTATAAAGTAACAATAAAGTTTCAAAAAATCTAGTTGCAAAATAATCAATATTGGGTGAAAAAAGCAATCAATTTGGATGATAACTGCGTGAAGTTAGGCAGTTTTATGAACAAAGATCCATTGAAAATTCTTATGATTTAAAGTTATTACTAACCCAAATCTAAACTGAGTGATTCAAAGAAAATTGGTCACACTCTACTTTATTTTGGTAAATGTATTTATAGACAACTCCTATTTGCCATTGCAGTTTATCCAGTATAAGCCCAGGAATTAAAGAATATCAGTAAACTCAAAATTGCACTATCATCCCAAGACTGCTGATATGATGTCATCAGAAGAATGACCATACTTTTTCTGAAAACAAATTACTTCACACTCCATGAACATTATGTGATAATATTATATTATCGTATTCTATAATGAAGTGCTTTTAGCAAAATTTTGCCTAACAAGGTATATAGTATTTAATGATGAGTTAATGTATGTTATTGACCAGATGTATTTGATATGAATTTTTATTTGACACCAGAAATGAATACCCTGAGTGTCAGAGCAACGTAAAAATTAGCTTGTAAATATTAAATATACCTTGGAGTCATTTTTCCTAGCTCTGAAGACCAGCGGCCAGGTTAGGCTTCCGTCAATCATATAGAAATGCTCCGCAGTGAAACTGCAGTTGAATGTCATTAGACCAAAATGAAATGTAAAACAAATTTAATTCTGCTTTATTTAATTTCATTTACTGTATTTAAAGAATAAATGAAAAAATGAAAAATATTCTTCGAAAAGAAAAGATATATCCAATGTTTTTGTATTTTTTGCTTATCAAAGAACATTTAGTCCTGAGATACACACGTGCACAATACACGTGCTTGCCGTGTGCCAAATTTGACAGCTACACTGTATGCCCGATACCACTATAAGGGCTGCGCAATGGCTACACCAAAATCAGTTTTTACAGCAGAATGTTGCTTGTATTGTGGCACTGACCTTCGACTGCAAGATATTTTCAATTCAAACTTATAACTCCGCGTCAGGCACTTTAATTGCTTCTTGTCTCGTGTGCACGAGAGAACTTCAGCGCAAGGCGGGAAAGGCAGCTCCAGGTGGCCAAACCTGTGACGTACGAGACTTATGACTTCCAAATATGGATCCAGGCGGACACAGCTGTGACGTGTGACTTCCAAATATGGAAGCGCCCCAGGCAGAATTTTGAAGAAGAACGCCCCCGAGTTGCCGCTGTTCGCTAGAGCCTGGTATTGCTAATATGGGTTATATATGAAATCAAGATCGAGCTGGCAATACCGGAATCTAGAACCTAGGGTAGAAATGAAAGACACTCTTTGTTTCAGGTTGTCGATAAGTCTAAAAGTATTGAAGAAGTCCCTGAATGGTTTCAAGGCTGTCACATGAACTTTGCAGAAAACATGCTACAATATAATGATGATAGAATAGCAGTTTATGCAGCAGGTACAATTAAAGCTTTTGCTGTGTATAAACATATGAATAATGTCATTTAACGTGTGACAATACACATGTTTTAAATACAAAGACCACTGTCAGTAATGTCATCGATAGCAGACATATCTGATTGGTCACGGCTGACAAGTATGTGGTTGATAACAAATATTAATTAATCAGATGCAGTGTTAATTGAGTGATATTAATGATAAATTTAATATTGTCCATGTGCAATAATTAATTGCAGTGGAAGGAAGAGAACAAGTCAAAAAGATAACTCACAGAGAACTCAGAGATAGAGTGGCATTGTATGCTTCAGCTATGAAAAAGATGGGAATTAAGAAAAATGACAGAATAGTTGGTAAGTGATTGTATTCAGCAGCCATTGAGAGAATGGGAGTTAAGAAAGAAGACAATAATTTGAATGCTAGTGTGCCAAACAGTGTGTCTGGATGGGATTTATTATTTAATTACAAAGAAACATTATTTTGGTTGAATTGATTAAAATATACAGCAATAAAAACCTATGTAAGATATATATTGTTTGGGCCATCTGCTAAAACATTTATCTTACCGGGTGCATTGGAAGTGCCACTCAAGATAAGCCACAGTTTACCCTTAACATGTGTTTCAATCACACTTTTCCTCTTTTTGAAATCTTATTTTGCTTTGTATATCCTTTGCTAACATTATCTAAGATTCAAATAGACAACATCATACATGTCATATTTTCCATCATTTATTTCTCCCACCAGTATATAACAGTCATTTTCATGACACGTTTCACTCTAATACTTTCGGTTGCAGGGCCTGCTTGGTGTAGACACAATTGTTAACAAAATTCTGTAACTTAGACATATACTTGTGTGTAATATGTTCCATTTCACTTTTAGGATATATCTCCAACTGTGTGGAAGCCTTGGAGGCAATGCTTGCTGCATCAAGCTTGGGTGCAATATGGAGCTCAACATCACCAGATTTTGGAGTTTCGGTAGGTGGTGCTTTAAATGATATAGCAAAAATACCAGCTGATTCACCATCTTTAATTGCATGATGTTGATTTTTAAGATCACAGGTATTATATTTGGGAATTTTTTTGTGTATTTCAGGGCGTTTTGGATAGATTTACTCAAATCCAGCCCAAGCTCATTTTTTCAGTGGATTGTGTGGTGTATAATGGTCGGGTTCACAATCATTTGGAAAAGTTACAGCATGTTGTTCAAGGTAAAACTAAGCCTCTGACTCTTAACAGGCAAGTTATGCATGTAGGTCTATATCAGAAATTACACATCAGCCTTGATAACAAGTTTGAGGTTGTAAAACTATGAAATGGTAGATCAGCTAGTGGAAAAGTTTATACAGATCAAAGACAGGAATAGCATAGATGATACTGGGCACTAAGAATAAGCTCCAGCAAGACTACATGTAGTTTAAGGAAATTGATGAGGTGCTTCAAGTGTATTGACTGTAAGACATCCTATAAAACATTTCTGTTAATGTGAATTTATTCCTCATCTAGCTGTATGGCTATAAGATGTCCTGTAAGACATTTCTGTTAATGTGAATTTATTTTTTATGTTGCTGTATGACTGTAGGATATCTTATAAGACATTTCTGTTAATGTGAATTTATTTCTTATGTTGTTGTATGACTGTAGGATATCTTATAAGACATTTCTGCTGATGAGAATGTATTCCTCATCTAATTGTATGGAGTATGATTTATCATATATGCTGTAGTACTACATTCTAATACTACTTGTGATGTACATGTTATTGTATCAACAGGTCTCCCAGATTTGGAGAAAGTGGTTGTGATATCTGGTTTGACCCATGGTGATAACAAACCAGACATTTCAAGTATTTTAAACAGGTGGGTCATTCTATTTGAAGCATATTTTAATGAATTAGAAAATTAATTATGTGTAGATCAGTCATCCAGTTCTATGAGGGGATGTTAAAAGGTTCTGAGCCTCACACATAAAGAGCAAGGTATTTGGATTGATGCTGCTTTATTTTTTAACATACATGTAATTTCTTCACACTTGTTTTCTATAGTTTGCCAGTCATTGATACCTGATTTGTTGAACTTGGCATTTAACTCCCATAAAAAAAAACTCCACAACAGCTGTCAGCTAAGATCTCTGGCCCCAAAGTGTTAATTCAGCCAGGGAAGGAAAAAGTAGTCACTGTGTGCTAGTTCTGAAGTACAGAGTGGGTGAGGGAGGAGTTTACAGCAACTCTTGTAAATAGCTTCTTCTAGTAAAGTAGATAGTTGACTGGATAGTTAAATGCTCATATCTCACAACAGGCCAGGCAGTTCTAAGGTATAAGGAAGTGTAAACTGTTGCCTTGTGTTACATGCCCATATCTCACAACATGCAAGGCAGTCCTAAGGTATAAGGAAGTGTAAACTGTTGCCTTGTGTTAAATGCTCATATCTCACAACAGGCTAGGGAGTTCTAAGGTATAAGGAAGTGTAAACTGTTGCCTTGTGTTACATGCCCATATCTCACAACATGCAAGGCAGTTCTAAGGTATAAGGAAGTGTAAACTGTTGCCTTGTGTTAAATGCTC